TACAGTAGTATAAAATGTACTTAAAACAGAGATAAAAAAAAAACAATAAAAGAAAAAAGTAAAAGAAAATGTTAAAAAGTTAAAGAGGGGGGGGGGGGGGGGGGTGCCCTCAAGCTATCTACCATCCCCAGGGTTTCATATCACTCTTAAATCCTCAAAATTACAAAATAAAAAAACCAAGATCTTGTTGTGATCCCAGAAAACTTGGATTGTTTTACCTGCATGCAGGCCCAATGAACCATAGTAGACAGGTAGAAAAGAAAATGTTTATTTGTAAGTAAAGAGGTTACCCAAAAGCAAGTTCCAAATGGGCACACCTCTACTTGGATTGGACCCCTTTTATGCAATTTTTAAAAACATATATTGCCATGAACCAATCGGGGAAGTACACATTGTAAACCAATCATTAAGAGAAACATCCTGCATGGATAGATCTTCAAGATCTTCAAGTAATGCAGATCTTCAAGTAATGCAGATCAGCTAAAGGTTACAAGTTAAAGATTACAAGATAGACTAAGACCTTTATCTTATCAATAAGGTTCCTCCTTACTAAGCAACTTGGTATCACTATCAGGTTTTGCTCATCGCCTTTATGGTCAGGCATTCCTGAGCAGGAGACAGATGGTCTGCTCAAACTGGTATCATTTCTGCTTAACAAAGCAGTTCGCCAATGGCTAATCACACCAAGCAATGCAAAGCACCACCACCCAAAGCTATTGCTATATTCTAAATAATAATGTGTGAAATTCTAAACAATACCTTAATACATGAATAACAAATAGTTTATGAATAGTACACATAAATACGTGGGTTAAGGCTACATGAATTGAGCTGTTTATCATTGCTACTGGAATAAATTGTAAATGATTGTCCAACTGATAATTGTTCAAAACAAGGTGAAAATTGATTCAGATTTAATGAAGAAATTCAAAGAGTGAAAGATAACAAAGAGAAGCCAAAATAGCCACCCAGAACTGGGGAAGACTGTATTTAGAAAGAGAAATATAAGAAATGAATCCTCCCTTTGATATCACTAAATCAGTCCTCAGTTCAGACAGAAGTACTATGAGAGGTGATCTATCACAGTAAGGTAAGTTATGAATGAGGCCGATGCACTTTTTACCTATATTAATTTTGTTTTTAAAATCAGATCTACCATTTGTCAACTCATAAAGTATTTCTATGGTCTTTACCACATTCATATTTATTTCACTTTTTATATTCATATTTAAATGCACAGCTTTGTTGGATTGTTATTTTTTGGTCATGTTTTGCTCATATCATACAGATATTTTTTGAAATACTTTAATATTGCTTCCTATTTAAAGATCTTAATAGTAAATGCTCTTGGTTTATACTGATGGATTTAAATTGACTTTCTACTGTTGTTTTAAGAATATATTTATGCATTTTTTTCTGGAAACCAATTAAAAGTATGGTATCCTCATCACCATATACAGTTAACATGAAAAACTGCTTTATTTTGTTTAATATACAAAGATACAGTATATTATAAAAGACAACTTTTACTAATCCAATAATACTACTTAATCAACTAGTAAATTCAGCTAATGAGATAAATCTTAGCATACTTTTGAACATGGGAGCAACTACTTTCTGAAAATACAACTATTTAAGGTGCAGTAATATAAACATACGCAATTTGTCTCCTATACAAGGAGATTTGGAGAAGGTATATTGAACTTATCAGTTAAAAACACAGTTTGTAAAGGGTTTGAAATGACTTCTCAATTTTCTTTGGAAAAACAGCATTTATAGGAAAAAAGGCAACTCAAAATTGGCATACTAAGATTTCTTGCTGTGAGTGGACAATCATGCATATTATCACTGCTGCATAATTAACCTGATTTTGCTTCTTAAATTCCTTTAGTCATTGGAATTATACAAATGCCATGAACTTATTGCATATAAATGTTAACACCTTGAAATTGAGAAATAGTTTTAACAGTGTTTAGAAGAAACACTTTTCATACAAGGAATAATTAAATTACAATATTTGTGATGTAATATCTACTAATGGGATGTGATATTTACTAATTTAAGGTTAGTTTTAAAATAGAGGAAATATAGGACTATCAATAACTGGATTTGATGTCTGACTCATAGGCAACATATTTAAAATAATAGCAGCTAGGAAAAACTGAGTTCCATATATACATGTGAACTTCTTGAATGCATTTGGTTAACTATTATATGACACACAAGGCTGTATTTCAGCCTGATCCAATAGATTTTTTAAATTCTTATGATCAGAGTTGGAGATGTATAAAAAAATCCTAAATACAGACATGTCATACAGCATGTACCACTTAGTGCATGCCTTAATATAATCAAATAAAATTACACAAAGAAAATAACATCATCAGTTCTATATTTTATTCCTATTAGTGTATTTTAGTAAAAAAAAATCTACACTTGTTGCAAGATA